ACCTAGGGATGCTTCCAGTCTAATATGGTTGATATCCATCACTTAGTTCCAGAGAAGAAGTCGCTTAAAGCAGTTTAGCCAAATTGCCCCCTTTTTGCCCCGCCCCTCAGCCCCCTGGGGGGTCAGCCCCACCATTTGTACAATTTTGAATCCCCACCACCTAGGGATGCTTCCAGTCAAATTTAGTTAAATTCCAATCAGTGGTTAAGAAGAAGAAGTCGTTTAAAGAAATTGTTGACGGACGGACGACGGACGGACGCCACGGTATGGCATAAGCTCACCTTGGTCCTTTGGACCAGGTGAGCTAACAATACATAGAAATATTTTTTTCTGAGTCTAAGGAGGAGCTGAAGGAAAGGTCCTCTCTTTATTGTGGTCCTATATATGGTAACCATGTACCCCTTATGACATAGATCCGTGTCATACTGGATTGGTTCTTGAAAGAGTTGAATTGAAGATAATCCCTGTATTTCGTTCGGAGAGAATTGCATCATGATCTTTTCTATCGTTAAGTTGAGTAGATTCTGGTATGGTAATTAAGGGGGGTCATAACTTCACTAGAACAAGCTACAATGTACATACAAACTTAAGGTGAATAGAAATTGTCCCCAATGTTGCTCGAAGTTATGGTACATGTATAAATATCTAGGTAAAATTATAAGAACCCTATTCCTCCGAAATGGAGAAACTTCACAAATCACCATTTGAGTTACTTGCTGGCATCATATACTCATGTATACAATCATGTCAGCATTGTCTGTCGAACGTGTTAGGACTAGTCCTTAGTGTCTAGGTTTAATTTAGTGTTACCTATATATATATATGTGTTGTTTTGCTGGAGATTTTGTTCGGCCAGAATATCTTCATAAACACCTGCATGAGATCACAAATACCAAGGACATGAAGTCTCTGACGCTGACAAATTTGTTTTCACCGAAAAAGCTCAGGGGAAACATTGATATTTTCAAAATGGCAGCCAGTCCAAACGCTTTTTCAAAGTTTTTGAGCTTATTCTGGTAGTTGGAATGAGAGAAAAAAAACTCTTCCACGCCCACAGGCGTAGGATAGGGAACTTCCATCCTGGGGATTTTCAAATTATGAAAGAGTCTTATAGGCTTGGTCATGTTCTACACAAATCATCTGAAGACATGACCAAGGTAGCCCTTAGGTGGTCACCAGAAGGAAAAAAATGAAAAGAGGTAGACCAAAAACAACGTGGAGGCCCTCCATCGAAAATGAAATACAGGAAAGAGAGTACACCTGGGGCACAGTAGAAAGAAAAGCCAATAATATAGAAGAGTGGAGGAAACGTGTCCTTGCCCTATATGCCATCAGGCATAGCAAGGACTAAGTAAGTAAGTCATATGTGTTGTTTTGATGCAATACACTTACCCTCATGTGTCGTTTCATGTCATCTGGAACAGTCTTGCTTGAGGGACCTTGGTCACCAAAGTTTCTGTGAGGTGGGTATTCTGAACAAAAATAAATTTCCTTATTAGTGATCTTATATTTTTTTTAAATATAGTTATATACTAACAAGAGCACGGCAAACGGATGATACCCCGTCTGTCCCTATCCGATGATTTTTCGTTAGTTAAATTAAATCCATATACCTGGGTTGTGGTGTTCAAGGGCGAACACATTTAAAAAGTGGGGAGTAGTGTGGCAGGGTTCAATTGTACATATAGGTTTAAGGTCATCTCCTAGCTTCGAGCTAGGGGGAATTTCCCTTTAGCTCAGTGGTAGAGCGTCCGACTAGAAACCTGAGTTTGAGGGTTCGATCCCCAGTGGAAGAACACTATACGCTGGACGGACGACAGACAGACGCACCATGGCATAAGCTTGCGTGGCCCTTTGGGCCATGTGAGCTAAAAAATGAAGACTAATAGAATCTATCGCTACTGGTTGTGTAAGATAGAGAAATCTCAACCCGAGGACTAAAAATCTTAGTCCGAGGGGTTGAGATTTCTCTATCTTACACAACCAGTAGCGATTGATTATTTTTCTCCCATATCTAACAGTATTTTAATGTGAAATAAAGGTAAACATGGACACAAAACACATACAGGCAATTTGTTGATGGATTGTTGACGTGACGTCATTGTATTGTTGAAGTGACGTCATGCCATTGTTATGAATAGGGGAATCCCCCCGTCTCAACCCTAGGGCGGAGACAGATAAATCTAGCACCGGCAAAACGGGAGATAAANCAGTAGGGGGTGGGTTTGGGAGGGAGGTTACCATCTGCAGGTAGCTCAAATATTTGGTGGTCCCTGCTTCGAATCCTGGTCTGGCTGTGTATTTTTCTGTATATATATATATATATGCTGTTGGAATTACTTCTGTAACAGGAAAGAGAATAGTGTGCTTCCACCGGGGATCGAACCCTCGATCTCCAGGTTCCTAGTCGGACGCTCTACCACTGAGCTAAAGGGAAATTCCCCCTAGTTCGAAGCTAGATGGCAACCTTAATCCTATGTACAATTGAACCCTGCCACACTTCTTTGCCCCATATATATATGCTTCCACATACTCATAGTCCTGGGCCCGTATTCATGAAGCTGTTCTCGTGCTGGAGCATGGATTTTGTGCTCAAGCCTTATTTCTTGTTCTGGTTATAACTGTTCTGGTTATAACTAAATAAATAAATCTTATTTTGTCACTGATTTGGAAAACATTTTGAAGAGACTTATAGCCAAATACTGTTTTCAATGTTTACATTTGACTTTTTGATCGTTTGACATGATCAGAAAGTTGGTTTGAGCACAGATTCCATGCTTGAGCATGCGGACGGTTTCATGAATACGAGCCCTGGTCACGTCCCTGAGTTCCCCTACAAAAAGAAACTTCTAGACCGCAATATTTAATACCAACAATTTCATTTCGTGATCACGAGTTAACTCCCTTACTGTGTAAATATTTGATTTTTTCATCACATCAAACATCAGCCATTGTATCGATTTTGTTCTTCTAGATCAAATTCTTAATTGAAATAATATACAACCTTATAACGATAATTCTAGTAAGTTTCTTTTTCACCGATATTATTCCTCAAATATAATAAAATAAGCATGATTTAGGACTACCTGGTTGACGTTTGACTGAGGGTTCCGGTGCTATCCCAAGCACTTTCAATACTACTGGGTGGAAAAAGCGAGGGTATATCACAGTAAAACATCCTACAATTATCAAAACGGATATGATCATCCGAACATTGGACGTTCCACCTACTACTGGACCGTCGTTAGAAATCATCTTCCTGCTCCTTTAGAAATGTCAACACTGCCAATTCTCGTTTCAAACGAGAGTTTGATATCTGACTATTTTAATCGAAAACTTCTGCTGGGAAGACATATTCCACTAACTAACCATAACATGGAATAAAATATTGGTATGTTGCTGAGAATATTTGTTTCAAGCATATATTACAGAAAGAGTTCCACTTGTTTATTTGATAATGATCTGTAGGGTATGCTAATCACATTATAGCAACGAGATTTCACGAGATGTCAATTCAAGATGGCGCTTACGTTGAAGGAACTTGCTTCATTGCTAAGGTTTTATCCGTTTTCTCGTGTATTTCAAATTTTTGACGCTTCGTTGTGTGGTTAAATTATTATTTTCGCTACGATGATTTACTCAATGAAAATGTTATGATACTGTATCGAATGACAACAACAAAATACGATACAATATCATAACATCTTCACTTTATATCTAACGTTCAGTTATTGTGACGGGTACAGTTGTTACGGCAGTAGCGGATCACTTTGCATATAATTGCTACACACGAATTTTGCAAAACTTTCTTTAAAGACATCATATATTTTCAGAAAGTACATTTAATTACCTCTCCAGTGATACCAAAAAATCTTCATAAAATCAAATATACACAACGAAATAAGGAAAACAAGACCTACCGATTTGTATGTCATCCTTATGATGTGACAGTACCCAAATCGGACCACCAAACCATCATTTTATACCTTAGGATCTTCAGTGGACGCTGGCATTCTCTGCCACTGTGTTCGCCTATAACTCGACCTCGAAGAATATCGATGGGTGTTCTTATAAACGAAATTAGCACTCGGGAGGGGGGGGGGGGGGGGGGGGGGGCTCACTTGAGATATTTAAGAACGCTCTGTCTTCTTCTTCCATTTACTGCGGCAGATCTCATAGATATTAGTGGAGGTGGCATTAATGTTTTTGGTTATTTTATGATATGACAGACCGATATAAAAAAGTCAATCAAACATCAGATTAATTAGGACTATACAGTACTTACAGTAGATTGGATGTGTTTACCCCAACTGAAGTCATCCGTAAGAGTAACACCCAAGTACTTGCTAGCTGGTAGGTTATCCAGCAGCGTGTTATGAAGCTGGTAACCGAACTTAACTTGGACTTTATTTTTGGTTACATTGATTATACAACATTCGCTGGCATTGAAGTTCATTTGCCCCTCAGTCTCCCATTGTTCTAGCCTAGCAAGGTCTGCCTGGAGTTGTTTGCAGTCGTCCTCAGACATTATCTCCTTATAGAGTAGACAATCGTCTGCACAAAAGTTTGACATTGCAGGAGACTTACTGTACCAAGTCGTTTATGTAAACGAGGGATAACAGTGGCCCAATGACCGTCCCCTGGGGTACCCCAGAAAGGACAGGGGCCTTGTCAGATTTAGTCCCATTTAATAAAACAAGTTGGTCTCTGTTGTTTAGGAATGATCTAATCCAGGAATTTGAACTGTTTCGAATGCCAAAGAAGTGTAGTTTAGAAAGAAGACGTTCATGAGGGACCTTATCGAAAGCTTTAGAAACGTCTTATAGGGCAATGTCTGTTTGTGATTTGTTGTTTATGTTCCTAAGGATGTCATGTACCGTTAGAATTAGTTGCGTTTCCGTAGAGTGTTTGGATCGAAAGCCGTGTTGAAATTTGGTGAGTATATTGTTGAGATCTATAAGTGATCCATGACATTGCTATGAATGATGTGTTCTAGTAATTTACAGGTGATACAAGTTAAAGAGACAGGACGATAATTTTCTGCAGCTTGTTTGTAACCTTTTTTAAAGACAGGGACAATGTGTGCCTCGCGCCAATCTTGCGGGACTGATCCGGAGTCTAATGATATTTGGAAGAGTTTTGTCAGTGCTTGTGTAATTTCTGCAGCAAGCTCTTTTAGTATTCTGGATGGAATGCTATCAGGACCAGATGCCTTGTGTATTTCTAGTTGCTTCAGGAGCTTAAGGACACTTGGTTCACTAATTTTGATATCTGGCATAGATTTATATTTGCTTTCTGGAAGTTTTGGGATGTTGGATTTGTCTTCCAGAGTATAGACCGAATGAAATTGATTGTTCAGAAGTCACCAATCAGCGTTTCCAGTTTTGGCGAATATCAGGACCCAAATCGGATCAAGGCTTGAATTTTGCAGTATCTTACACTTCAAATTAATATTTTTTGTCAGCATATTACCATTATATGATGACCTTTAGAGTTTATATGACAAAAAGAATTTCTATAGTGTGAATTTATTCCTGTAGTCCAAAACTGAATGCATAGCCGTGACATATGTGCCTTTTTTTTTAAACGTAATAAAAACACTGACATTTGAGTTTGAATTACAATTTCTGGTGCTAATTGAGCTTAAAAACTAATCATCTGTAGACAAAAATGATAATATACAAAATTTATATAGCACCCTATATAATTTGAACAGCTCCCTACAGGTACTGGGGAGCTGTTCCATTCAGTGCCTTGTATGTGTATACACCAAAACTTTGTACTGTGACCTGTATCGTACAGGTAACCAGTGTAATGTATATAGCACAGGTGTAATGTGCTCTCTCTTTTGAGTACGAGTAACCAGCCATGCTGCAGTGTTCTGGACCCTCTGCAGACGACTAGTTAGTTTGTCAGATATACCACAGAGCAGGGCATTACCAAAATCCAACCGAGAGGTAACAAGTGAATGCACCGAAATCTTGCATGCATCTGCAGTTATAAACTGATGAATACAGTCGATGTTCCTGATCTGGTAGTAACAGGATTTGGCAATAGCGTTCACTTGTTTCTCCATGTACAGTACTAGTGAACTATCAAAGTATACCTCTATGTTTTTAACAGCTGGAACAGTCTCAATAGTTCTGGCACCGACCTTGAGCTGGAGAGCCATTGTTTGCTGACACATTTGGGAAAAGACGATTAGTTCCGTCTTTTCCTGATTAAGCTTTAGCATGGCTATCTATTCTAAGGCTACATCATTGTTATAACTGATTTGTTGATGCATTTATTGATTTATAAGGATTTTTGCAAAAAGCAATCCAATTGGGGTACTGTATATTCAATTTGGGTACTGCCTCCTTATCGATAGAAATGATGAATTCCAGAGTTTGTAGACAATAGTCACATTGAATGTTATCTAGTTCAACCATAGGAATCTGAGGTTCTATCAAAAATAACAATAACAGTTCATTGTAAAAAAAGATTGCTTAAAAATAGATTTTACAGCATGTTATAGGGTTATTTTTGGCATTGACAACTCTCCCTGTGTTTAAAAAAAGAGGTGGCTGTGCTTAGATAGTTCTTTTTATTATAGTATTAAAATATTTTTACAACCAGTTATTATATATAACTCAAAATTAGAAATCATACTCATAGTTGTTCAGTAATAAACATTGAAACAAATGTGTCGGAGCCGTCAGTTTGGTTTCAACAGAGACATGGTTTCAATTAAACTCCCTGTCTGAAAATTCTGGCAAATTTTATATGGCTGGATACCATCTACATAATGTTATCTTCAGCATAATCTGAATCCTCAAAACTTAAAAAATATTTATTCGCGATCTGACGCTGTGTAGCGATGGCTGTATAGCGATGGCTGTAATCGATCTCGCCTTTTCCAAGGTGGTTGCTACACAGGTTGAACTTGTGATGTCACAGCCGATAAGGTCCCACTCACTGTGTTACCATTATGCTAATAAGTAGTAGCTATAGAGGACAGGTGAAAATTGTATGCTTTACACGTCAATACCTCAGTATTGGGCTGACAAATTTATATGCGTTTTTTTCGACATTTTTGTTTTCGAATCATATGGAATAAAAAATATATTCCTTTCTATTTTCGTTCAGGGTACACTTTAAATTTCAAAATCCCATTACACAGCCTAAGATTTGGCAGTTTCACTCGGTGTGCACATGCAATGATGATCATTTGAGAATAGTTCAAATAGTTTCACACTTCAAATATAATATATTGGTATTAAACCAGAATCCTCAGGTAACATTTGCTTTATGTCATGGAATTACTGATTTCAGCGTGCTATCTGAAGATGCCACCCAGACACAGTCATTTGAAGCTTTGGCTTCGAGCTTCCATCACTACTTCACCAAACAGGACCACTTCAAAGTCGGATCAGCTTTGGTAATGTAGCCTGCATTCATATATCTAAACCATGCTTGTTGATTGGGCAGTGATGAAAAAAACACAGAAAAAATCTCTATTAGATATGACTACTAAGTATGCAAAGCGTTTAACAGCTTGGTGCTTGTTCGTAGTTTTTAGCTCACCTGGTCCGTCAACTTTTCCTTTAAAATTCTACTAGTCCTGAACTGCTTATGGATTTTGACTAATTTTGGCCTGGAGCATCCTTGGGCAAAGGGGACACATTTTGTATAAACAAAGGGTGTGGCCCCTCTGGGTGCTTTAAGGGGTGGGGCCCTATATGGGAAATTGCGGTTTGAATCTATATATTCTTCTCCTTCTGTACCTTTGGAGGGACTTTTTCAAATTTGACCTGGAGCATCCTTGGGCAAAAGGGACTCAATTTTGTATAAATGGAAATTGTGGCCCTCTTGTGGGCAGAGCTCGAGGGGTGGGGGCCCGATAGGGGAAATTTAGGTAAATCTTTTAAATGCTTCTCCTTCAATTTAATCAAATTTGGTCCAGAGAAAGCATTTGGCAAGGAGGGGTCCTGTAAGGGGATCATAGTAATAAATGTTTAAAATTCTTCCTCCAGTTTAGTGGAGGAATTTTAACCAAATTTTGTGTAGATCATCCTTGGGCAAAGGGGAATCAATTTTGTAAAAATAGTGGGTTGCTTTTAGGGGACAGAGGGACGGCCCCAATAGAAGACATTGAGATTAATGTTTAAAATTCTCCCCAATTCATGGAAGCAGAAAGAAAGGACCTAATGAAGGATGGCTATTGTTGAGAGACAGACCCAATATTTGGAAATAGTTATTATATTTAATAAGAATAATTTTCCATGGTTGCTCTATTATCCAGGTTAGCCATACAGGCCCTTTGGGCCTCTTGTTTAATTTCAAGAATTTTCCAGTTGTAATGCAAATGGTACATTTTATGCAGTTTCAATACACCCAGTTTTCATATACTTGTTATTTATTGGAATGATATTTTGATGTCAACATTTTCAGTCATATCTTTATAACAAATGGAAGAGGTCAACATTTTCACTTTTTGTATTCCAAATTATCTGCAATATAAACCAATTTCAATCCATTTGCCAGTCAATAATGACAAGGTTCATGACAGTAGTTTTAGTTTAACACCCACAGAATAATGAACGTTCAATGGTACGTGAAACAATGGTTGTTTTAGGTGCTGTTATTACAGAACAGAGACCTCCTCCCTCATCCGACACAGAAGCTGGCTGCTATTTTTCTACTGTATGAGATGTACAGGACTGAGCCTATAGCTGTTAATCCATTCGCAACAGTGTTTGTACACTTACTGGTATGGAACATTAAATGATGTAAAATATTAAATAACTTACCCGGGAGTGTCCACTTGCTGCTTCATTCAGTGAGTGCAGTTTACAGTTATAATTGGTACTTAGTACGGTTTGTGTACAATAAGTACAGTTGGTACGCAGTCACTATTCAGTTGATGCAGTAAGTTTGGTTGGTATACAGTTATATGGTCTGTATACAGTTGGTATACAGTTATATGGTCTGTATATAGTTTTACAGTTGGTATACAGTTATATGGTCTGTAGATAGTTTTACAGTTGGTATACAGTTATATGGTCTGTATATCGTTGGTATACAGTTATATGGTCTATATATAGTTTTACAGTTGGTATACAGTTATATGGTCTGTATATAGTTTTACAGTTGGTATACAGTTATATGGTCTGTATATAGTTTTACAGTTGGTATACAGTTATATGGTCTGTATATAGTTTTACAGTTGGTTTACAGTTATATGGTCTGTATATAGTTTTACAGTTGGTATACAGTTATATGGTCTGTATATAGTTTTACAGTTGATATACAGTAATGGTCTGTATATAGTTGGTATACAGTTATGTGGTCTGTATATAGTTGGTATACAGTGATATGGTCTGTATATAGTTTTACAGTTGGTATACAGCTATGGTCTGTATACAGTTGGTATACAGTTATGGTCTGTATATAGTTTTACAGTTGGTTTACAGTTATATGGTCTGTATAACGTTTTACAGTTGGTATACAGTTATGGTCTGTATATAGTTTAACAGTTGGTATACAGTTATGGTCTGTATATAGTTTTACAGTTGGTTTACAGTTATATTGTCTGTATAACGTTTTACAGTTGGTATCCAGCTATGTGGTCTGTATATAGTTCTACAGTTGGTATACAGCTATATGGTCTGTATTTAGTTTGACTGTTGGTATACAGTTATGTTCTGTATATAGTTTTACACTTGGTATACAGTTACATGGTCTGTATTTAGTTTGCCAGTTGGTATACAGTTATTTAGTCTGTATTTAGTTTAACAGTTGGTATACAGTTAAATGGTCTATATATAGTTTTACAGTAGGTATACAGTTATATGGTCTGGATATAGTTTTACAGTAGGTATACAGTTATATGGTCTGTATATAGTTTTACAGTTGGTATACAGTTATGGTCTGTATTTAGTTTGACAGTTGGTATACAGTTAAATGGTCTGTATATAGTTTTACAGTTAGTATACAGTTATATGGTCTGTATATAGTTTTACAGTTGGTATACAGCTATGTGGTCTGTATGTAGTTTTACAGTTGGTATACAGCTATGTGGTCTGTATATAGTTTTACAGTTGGTATACAGTTATATGGTCTGTATATAGTTTTACAGTTGGTATACAGTTATTTGGTCTGTATTTAGTTTTACAGTTGGTATACAGTTATTTGGTCTGTATTTAGTTGGTATACAGTTGATATGTTCTGTATATAGTTTTACAGTTGGTATATAGTTATATAGGTTGTATTTAGATATGGTCTGTATATAGTTTTACAGTTGGTATACAGCTATAAGGTCTGTATATAGTTGGTATACAGTTATATGGTCTGTATATAGTTGGTATACAGTTATATGGTCTGTATATAGTTTTACACTTGGTATACAGTTGTATGGTCTGTTTATAGTTTTACAGTTGGTATACAGTTATATGGTCTGTATATAGTTGGTATACAGTTATTTGGTCTGTATTTAGTTGGTATACAGTTGGTATGTTCTGTATATAGTTTTACAGTTGGTATACAGTTATATGGGTTGTATTTAGATATGGTCTGTATATAGTTATACAGTTGGTATACAGCTATATGGTCTGTATATAGTTTTACAGTTGGTATACAGTTATATGGTCTGTAT